ATTCTCTGTTCTCTGTTCCCTGTTCCTTTTATTGTACGGAGTCCCTAAGATTCAAAGGCTGCCAATTGCGACATAGGGCGATATTCATAATCTGTTTTTATTTTAAAACTGTCTTAAATAATGTTTTAAGATGCTAAGGCTGCAGTCAAAGTCTCATTACAAATGCTTTGAAGCATTTGGTTGATCAATTAGAAAAAAGAATTTTACAAACTGACCAATTAAAAATTACTTTAAAGCATTTGTAGTGAGACCGCGTTGATCCTACTTTAATGCAGTTTTCGAAGGTGTATTCCCTTTTTACTGGTAACCATCATAGATTGTGTTCCGATAGCTGTGTCGAAAATTTTCTTTTCAGTTACAAGATTAGTAGCGCTGTAACTAACATAGCTGTGTTCCGTAAGAGATCAGCTGACACTATAGTTTGCATTTGCTTTATTGGCTTATCCAGAAAGGAGATTATTTTTACTCTTATAATATATAGTTATTTTAAATAATGAAATTCTTCATTGTTGTATTTACAAATTATATTTTCAATAAAATTTTGAACTCTTGGCTTCTTTCTTTTCGGATGATTTTTGTTATCGTCATAAATAATATTTATTATTTTTTCTTCACTTTCAGAACTTTTATTTGAATTTGAAAGTAATTCATGAAATACAAATAAATCCATTTTTTAAATAACAAATTAGACAAGCCGATAAAGCAAATGCAAACCACGGTGTCAGCTGATCTCTTACGGAACACAACTATATTAGTTGCAGTGCTACTAACCTTGTAACTAAAAAAGAAAATTTTCGACACAGCTATCGGAACACAACCATAATGTCACAACACTGCCGCAGCCATTCCAAAATTACTGTGATATTGTCAGCATTATTGTAACGTCATATTTTGGAACGGCTTTGCAGTAGACTGGCAGTAGTATAAACAGACATGGACAAACGTACTAAATTGTCAATAAATTTTGAATAAAAATAGCAGCGATAGTTTTTTAAAAAAAGATAAACTAATTATGAGATCACCAATTCAAGTAGTTTGATCTAGTGTTAAAAACTATATGGACACAGTTAATGAATACATATTCAGAAATGGAATTTAAGAGTCATTTCCGGTAAAATGAATATATATCCATCTTCTGCAGTTAAATATAATGTATATTTTTTTATTTTCTGGATCAAATATTTCGATGTGTTGTGCTTCTTTAAGCGACGCCATATTGCACTGTAACCAGTGTAACCGCCTTACTTCGAAAGCTACAATAATCGCAATGGCAATATAGCTATCATATATGACGTTATTGAGGAACTAGACACTGTCGCAGCACGCTGCGTAGTAATAACAATTTTTCAATACTAGTGTATATCGGAGCACACCCCGGATTGACTTATAGGTTTCTGAGTACAAGAATCGTAACACTTACTTAGGCTTAAATTATAGACGTAAATAACGCACAAGCTTTCACGTATGACGTACAATCTATTGCCGTATCTCCAAGAGACGACAATACATCGTACGTCATACAACGTAAATCTCTTATGTCTGTTTTACAATAGGATCGCAAGTCGTAAGGCACAGATTTTTGCATAACGCATAGTGCAAGTGAATAAACTAATCAGAATCTTTCTTTTCATCCTATTTCATGGAAAAGAAGAATTTCGATTGCTTGATTCCCTTATGCATTTATACATTATGCGTTATGCAAGAGTCTGTACTGCAGCCAATAAGTGTAAGAAATTGGCCAGTTATAGTTAAGTGTGAGGAGAATAATCGGCTATGATTAATTTCTTACTATTACGACTAATTACGGCTTACTATTTACGACTCTATTGTAGAACAGCTTAAATAAGTGTTACAATTTTTGTGCCCTTAGACCCTATGAGACTGTATTAAGACAATCTTAAATGTAAGATTCGATACTACGAATACGGCCTGTTTCGCGTCGTATCTATAGAAAAAGAAATAAATAAAGATGCCTTTTCATGCTGATGCTCATTTTCGGCGTCAAAATAAGTTATGTAATAGAAATTGACGAATATCAAGCGTCAATTTTGATCATATGATTTATTTTGATGCTAAAAATGAGCATCGAGCGTCAGCATGAAAAAGCAGCCTTAGGTCGCTAACCAAGATTGGGTTTGATACATATTCTGGAAATTGGATATGTATGAATGCGTATTATATATAGAATATGTATCAAATTTGTATGATACCTTTTAACATAATCTCTGATTTGTTAATCTTATTGACTAAAAAACGTTTTTAGATTTTTGAAGTTTTAAAGTATATATTGCTGATTGGGAATAATTCCAAAAACTTTCCAGTTTTATTAAAAATGTAGTTTGCAAATAAAAAACGGAAAGGAAATAATATTGAAAATATAAGTATAGTATATACAATTATGTATATAATAATGAATTTGATATGTAATAATTTAGTAATTCGTTGTAATTTTTGCTATGATCGCGTGAATTTAATTTGAAAATACTTATAATCTGATATTATGCCTGATATTATAATTTTCTAATTAATTTCCAATATAATTACATGTCGTATTTCAAATTGTTGATATCGCAGTAAAATGTAAGGCTGTGGTCAATCGCTTCAAATGCTTTGAAGCGTTTGATGGACCAATTAGAAAAAAGAATTTTACGAACTGGCCAATTAAAAAACGTTTCAAGCGTTTGTAACATCGCATTATCATACCCTAAATTTGTTTTACCAGTCCAAAACATCTAAATAAAATCGGAATAAAAAAGGAGGTTATGTAACGTATAATACATAAACGTGTAATAATAAAGTGGTATCATACTTCAATATCATATGTAGAATATCAATGTGTAATATACTGGGTATGATACGTTCCCAACCCTGCCGCTAGTTCTCCTGTCGCGAGGATCAGAATCAACCGAGGCTTCAAAAATGATGGCGAAGCATACAGCGTCGAAATTTCTTTGGACATTTGACTCTCATCGCTACAAGAAAATTTTACGTCGTGATCTGACCGTATTGTCTCCGCATACTTTATGGAGGCAGGAGCCATAACTAAGAAGAAGAAGAAAGTCATAGGTCGGTATTCATAGTTAGGGTTTATATTCAAGATCGTTTTACGATCTTAAGAAATCATAAACCAATCAGAGGGCTGCATTAAGCGTCTTAAGACATTATTAATACATTACTTAAGACAGTCTTGAAATAAGAATCGATTGTGAATACCGGCGGTAGTGTGCAAGAGTGTGGAAGTGGGATAAGATATATATTCTTGAATATGCAGAGACATTTGATTGGTCAGAGCGCACGCGCATCAAGAAGGTTCTCAACTACTTCCTAGTCAATAGACAGTTTATGCATAATAATATATAATAATATATAAAACAATTAATACTAACAATATCTTATGCTATTATATATAATTATTGTTAATTTTATGTTACTAAATATTTTCAAAATGATAAAATAAAAATTGTAAGATGCTCATTTAATGTACAAATCTATTTGACATATGTTCTAGCTTTTTTCATTGAAGAATATATATATAAATTTCTTGTATTAACTTGTTTCTGACGGTAAGTTTAAATGAAACTTTATGAGAACAAACTTAAATATTTACTTTATAATTATAACGATTTTGAAATTGCTGTCTTACACAAGTGTCTCAATTTAAAAGAGAATAATTACAGAAGGTTATACCTTCAACTTGTAATGTAAAATTCTATAAATTTATAATTAAATATTATCGAAATGATACGGTAAAAGCCAATTTTTTCTAGATATTACTGATATTAACTTTTGTATTACATATATATGTATTTGTATTACATATATTATAGATTTTTCTTATATTTCAAATACGAGAATCTCTTTAATGTTTCTACATATATTTACATACATTGTGATGGATAAGAAGCAAGTATAAATTGATATAAATTATTGTATTAATATATATTATTGTCGATTTATAAACTTGACTCTTAGATTCTTTTCAAGTGTCGAATTATATTAATTTGGAAAATATATACATTAAGTTCCATACATTGATTATTGTAGGTTATGAGATACTCTTCGACAAATTTTTCATCCAATTATAAACTTTATTTATCAATTCATAACAACATAGATGTCTCCAAAGATCTCAAACTATACATGCAGACACCTATTTCTTTATTTTCATTCACATTGAGATTTATGTACAGATGTTATATTTCCTTTAATCCTATTCCAATTATAGTAATTACTATAGTAAGAATAGACCGAGTATGAGATTTGAAATGTGAAGACTAGGTAAAAAAGGACAGAAAATGGATGCTATCGCCATGGTAGAAGGGATAACATGGTGTTGCGATCATCTCTCTCTGAATTTCCGCCGTCTATGTCGATAAGAGACTAAGACTGCCAACTGTGTAACGCTAAACATGGGGGCGATATTCATAATCCATTTTTATTTTAAAACCGTCTTAAAGTCTATAATGTCTTAAGACGCTAATACAGTCCTCGGATTGACATCTTAAAATTGTACTTAAGATAATCTTAAATGCAAGAATCTTTGTTTAACATACTTTATGATAACATACATTTTCTCTTTGAAGGTGGAGATTCAGAGAGAGAATTTGCTTGCAAATTGCACACGCCACCATGCGTATAGCATTCCCTTTCTGATGAGGAAAGAGTGGGAGGAAGGGGGGAAGTAAGATGTGAAAAAAAGAAAGTAGAGAAACGGTTGTGGTGAGTGTGCTCGAGCAGAGAAAGAAAGCTACACACATGCTTTCTGTCCTTTTTTTACCTGATTTTCATGTCAAAGGAGAGGACAAGCTCAGTCTATTCTTATTATGTCTATAACCCAACAAACACCAAATAATAACATAACTATTAGTTATAATTCCCTCCCATTCAATAATATAACTGTTATGTTATACTATAGTTATGTATGAGTGGAAAATTATAATTACAATTGTGTTAAGTCGATTCTACATTAGTTGCAAATCGATCGTAAATTTGTTGCGACAGCCAATATGAAGTGTTGATTTCAAAATGCAAGCTTCAGATTGCAACTAATGTAGAACCGGCTTTATAGTTAGTATTTGTGAGATCGTGCGCGCGCGCGCGCGTGTGTGTGTGTGTGTGTGTGAAATTAATCCATTTTGCTAATGTTCGCCAATAGCGTTTATAAAATTCATCAAGATATAAATATCCCTATCGCTTTAAACCGATTGCAAGTTCCGCCAATCAATATGAAGCGTTGATTTCAAAATGCAAGCTTCAGTTTGGCTGTCGCAACAAACTTGCGATCGGCTTGCAACTAATGTAGAACCGGCTTTACATAGAAAAGAACTCGAGCTGCTCTCAATAATGCAACTAATTGATAATTAATGTAACTAATTTCTCACATATATTTTATAAAGCTCTTATTCTTCAATACAAATTTACATTGAGTTGGCTGAAAAACACGACCTGATGAGTCAAATATACCTATAATAGTTACGTTTACATCGTGCACTTAATCTACGACTTATGTGATAGATTTTTGTTTAATTTACAAGATAAACAAGGACACCTATTATGAAGACCTAAATACACGATATAAACGTAGCGAATTAATGTTCCTGGAAAATGCCCTTTCTTTTACAAATGCTTTGACAAGTTATATCTTTTAGAAAGATCTTTCGAAACAAATATCTTGTTTTATGCTAGAAGGAAAGGGAATGTAATCAGGTACGCATTTTGAATGCCGTAAAAACAGCGTGTTGAGATACTGTCAATCAATCGCAGTTATTACTGATTGCGCGTCTAATAAACTCTCACTTAGAAGGATTGAACTATTCATAATCGGCGCACTTACAGTATTCCCTGATCTATTGTTACTAAAGGGATAAAAGCTATCGATATTTGTATGAAGAGAACAGATACCGACCTTATCTATCGGTGAAATGCAGCTTTTGTTTATTCCATGTTGATTAATGTCGTTTTGAAGTAACCTAATGTAAAGTTCGATATGTCTTTGTCCGCCGTTACGAATTTCAAGTGTTGGTATCCAACGAAAATAGCATTGTGTCCAAAGCTCGAGACTAGAAACCGCATACAAAGGCTTTATAATTGTTTCGTTTTCCGTTTTTATCTTGTTGGTGAAACTACAGGGAATAAATAAAGGATTATAAAACAACAAGATATCTTGATCGTTGAATTGTTCTCGCCAGTCCCAAACGCTACGAAGTACAAGAGGTGTGTTGGGATCCTGAAAAATCCAAATTATGTAATGCTCGTAAGTTTATTAGCTACCGACCTCACATTTGGAGATCTTCTCAGAAGATGAGCTCAAATAAAATTTATTACCATAGCTGCCACTGCCCGATCTCTTTCACAGTTAAAGATAAAAGTATCAAAAATGGAAACATGTGCCGCGTCCCATAGTGTGGTCAAATACGTTTCCGTAAATTCAAATTCTGTTGGATATTGTTGACACAATTGCCACACACAGTCGAGGTATAAAAGAAACAATGGAGACTGTGTAAATTAAATCAAGATAATTTGCCATTGCTAGTATCCCAAGTTTTTTTTAAGTGTTTCTCAATGGTAAACCAAATTCTAATTTGCCATGCGTACCTTTTCTGAATTAGTTTTCACGATGTGGCCTAATCTATCACAAAACGGATGGCCACCAGCGACCCATTCCTTTTGTAATAACGATTGAAAGCCTATTATAGTACGAAAGTGATGATCCAGTAACAGTTGCGCTAAACTCGATATAACGCAGCACAAGTCTCTAGCAGCACCTTCTAAAAACGATTCTCGTTTATGACACAAGTTGACTTTAATAAACTCTCGATTCTTTTCCAATTCCACATGATAACGTCAATAAATAAAGTCGATTGCTTCTGTTAAAAAATTCCTTTATGTCCGTTACATTACGTCTGCAAGCAGATTATCTGAACAACTACCTTGTAAGATGACGGAAATTCCTAAATTAAGACGATCGCAAACTTCAACTGTTTTTTGTAAGCAATACGATATGTATTTAAGCCATTTTGTGTTTTCTAATAATGAATAAAAATTATTATCTTGAATCCAGAATTGTCTGATGTTTTCTGAAATAAATATATAGACATTTTCTTTTTTGCAATCTGCAGATCCACTTGCAAGTATCAGTATTAGTTATGGCATATGATAAAGATTTACCTGGTGTACACAAGTTAATAAATTTAGTGAAACTCGCTGCTATTAACTTTACATTAATTTCTTTATTTAATTCGATAACAACCGGTGGTATCTTTTGAGGATGGCTTTTACGAACATTTTCAAACATAATATTCTCCTGCATCCTCTCTGTAATTGTTGGTAATAATTCAGACATTTTTACTAATGCTGCACCATGGGAACTCGTCCAGGACCATACTGGTGGTCTATTACCTTGAAAATGTCTAGCTGCATCTGTCAACTGACTATCCGTCACAGACGCAGGTACCACTACATATTGCGATAAACTACAGAGATAATAACGGAATTAAAATTCGGTTTCAACAAATTCGTTTCAAATGCATACGTAATTACGTTAATTATAATGCAAACTATGTAAATGCTCATATAATGAGCAAGTTACCTGGGACAAAGTTGAAATTTGGCATTAACCATAGATAATCTCCAACCCTTTTTCGTCTCGTCGCTACACAACATTCTTTTCAATTCATTTTGCCAGTCTGAAATATCCCGAAATAGTTGTACATTTTTGTCAAGACTACTGTAGTAAGCCTCTCTGTAATTAGACATACAAAAATTCATTTTGAGCTCATATGAGCATGTGCTATGCACATATGTTGTAATTATATTATGAGAAGAGAGGATTTTTTTAATAGTGTTACTTTAATAACCATAATGTTCGTAATTCTTTGGTGTAATACTAACTTGTAATCGTAGGCAAATAACAGTTGGTGCCTACTAGGAAAAGCATGATGTAGTAGTGCAGTCAGAAGATTCTTACCATGTCCAATAGGTGAAAATTTGAAAGAAAACGACCATGTTCTTAGATTCTGCAATTCATAATGCAATACATAATTTTTTCTTCTTTGTAAATGTTTGTAGTTTATATACAACAAAATTAGTTGACTTCAAACAATCATTAGTTAGTGCTCTGCTAGAGAATCAACTTTCGACACTCATTCTACTATCAGAAAGAGTGTCATAATATCAATACAAGTTCGATCTTATGTATGTTATAAGATGGAAAACTTACTTTGCAAATAATAAATATCCCTTTTACTTTCGATGGTACCGTATTACCAGGAACTAACTTCCTTTTTTTATCTCCTATCATAATATAAATTTCATCGATATTTGTCAAACACGTATCCGTATATCCATACAAATGATTCTGTTGACGAGTAACATTCTGTAACACAGATTCTTGGATATCATGTCTAAATATCGGTTCACGCTTTGATAATCAAACCAATGATTGCAAAGTTACATATTGTTTCGTGTATATATACCTCTCCATTTGAATCACCACTGGTAACAAAGGTAAGTTTAAAATTGGTAACTGACAAAATACCAGATATGCCTTGTTTTAGATCACTAACGGGTAAAAACATAAGAACACTTTGCGCCTCGGCAATAAGAACTTCTCCTGGCAATAATTTTATGCTATTTTCAACTAATGAATTACGTCGGCTGGAACTAAAGGTCTACAAAAGGGTTATGTATTTGAATATTCAGATGCTTCTCCAATTTCATTAATTGAAAGCTTATATAACAATGCCGAGATAATTAAAAGCGAGAATGTTTATACAAATTTAAATACAGTTGACAATTACCTGTAACTCGTGCTCCTCTAATCCTACGTAACTAATAAAGTTGTTGCTACTTTTGTTTTCCATAATATTCGATCTCGAGATCAATCTCAAGAAAATCAAAATTTGCAGGTTTAATATGGTTCCTGCAAAGTACTGACAAGCGCCTAAGTGATATAACGCTTCATTTAATTTTCTTCTCGCATAATTGAATCCAAAATCCAGTTGACACTTGACAACTTTTTCAGGATACGATTACGATATCGTTCGTGGAAGCTAGAAATTTAAACTCCATTTAGTACAGGTCGTGGTGGAAGCACAGTATATACAGTAGCGCGACACTCTCTGTCGGCACCTTTGATGTTGGCCAAAATGGAGTGCGCATGCGTGAAATAAGTAAATTACCTAGTATTGCCACGGTTATCACCTAAACTTCTTTCTCTTTTCATACTTTTTTCACTCTGTCAAAATTCCTCGCAAAACTCACTAGATTTATTCGATCGTAATCCAATGAATTCGATCAAAGTGAGTAAGTGCTATGGTAGGAATATATTAGAGCATGAGACGCGAATAAACCTAATATTGCGATGAAATAATTTACTTTATGAAAATTAATAAAAATAAATTGTATATTGAAAAATAAAGAAATAATATATAAAAAAATTAGGAAAAGTATTAAATTAACTTAAAAATATATATTTGTATAAAAAAATATTAATTATATATAGTAATTAATAAAAAATATATCTATATATAAAAATATTATGAGAAAAGTGATATAAAAGAAATTTATATACATGTATGTACAAAAAATAAGTTTAAAATACAATAAATACAATAAATAAAATACAATAAATAAAAAGAAATCTTTCTTGCTCGGTTTTCTATGTTACTCTTATTCACTTTTTCAAAAAAATTAGACCTCTTGAGGTTTCTCACACAACATTTTATCAAATGGACAATACACGTATTACTTCCCTCTAAATTTCTTTGAACCATGTATGCTTGAAAAACAAAGTTATTTAGTGGAATATTGAAACGCTCATTTAAATAGAGAGAGAGAGAGAGAGAGAGAGAGAGAGAGAGAGAGAGAGAGAAAGAAAGAGAGAGAGAGAGAGAACAATAAAAGGAAGAAAACGGGAGCTAATTTAATTTATATTTACTTATTTAAGTGCGCATTTAAGAGCGCATGCGCACTCCATTTTAGCTAATATTATATAAGACGTTCAGCAGTGTAAATCTGAGATGCGAGCTAGCAGATGGAGCTTGATCACGTGATCTTCACGCAATCAGAGTGTCAAAAATTAATTCCAAACACTACAGAGCTATAAATTGTCCTTTAAAGTTAGATTATAAAATGAAATTATTTATTTTTATGAATAAATAAAAAATATCCTATTAATTGAAAATTTCTTTCGCTTTAGAAACTGATAATAATTTTTATACTAAAAATAGATCGTTACACAATGTAATGTGAATGTAGCAGATTCATATACAAGGTGTGTTTTCGTAAAAAAAAATACTACTTTACTTAAATACCTGCAATTTATAAATTATATCACTTGATATATATTTGTTAGAGTCTTTAATATATTAATAGTTTGATTTTATATGTGCAATATAAGCTTTGATCTAAAAATTAACTAGCAAATTCTATGTTTTTAAATACATAACTTCAAATTCATAAAGGGAAAAGAATTAAAAACTTACTTTCTTCGTTAAATATTGTACATAGTATACTCCATCAATTTCTATTTGATTTCTTTTTGATAGCATTTGTTTGAGCATTTGTAAATTCAGACATTATAACAGTTCAAATACACTATTTGTAAAATAGAAATATTAAAAGAGATGAATGTACGTTGTATTAACGAATCAATTAGAAACATTATTATAAATATACAGGTTATAAATTTAATTTAAACGCGAAATTTGCATCAGCTCTGCGAGCTCTGTCTTTTGCCCGTATTCAAAGTCAGAGTTAAAGCTTCCTTAAATTTATTTTTAGATGCTCAGCCAATAAAATAATTCGTAGAGTATCTAAAGATAAATTAAGGAAGCTTTAAATATAAGGCCTGACTATGAATACGTGTATTTGAATCCGGAATGAATCGAGCAGCTCGATTGGCTCTAGAAATGTTAATACCGAATGCAGATAAGGGCTGTGGTCAAAGTTTCGCTACTAACGCTTTGAATCATTTGATGGATCAATTAGAAGAAAGAATTTTACAAATTGAAAAACGCTTCAAAATGTTTACACCATCGCGTTGACCGCACCCAAGATGACAGAAAGATGCGAGTAGTCAAACGAATTTCGAGGTAAAAGAGCAAACGGACACCTCCGATTTGCAATGCCGAACGCATCTATAAAATCAAGAGAATTGCGCTACTATATGTACTGTGGTAGATGGGATTGACATGGTGTGCTCAGAGTATCAATTATGAAACTTTTTTCTTAGGATGAAAAATGAAAAATGAAAATTTTTACCATTGAAATTAATGGAGAAATTTTTTACTTTTCACTTTCCATCCTAGGAATAAAGTTTTATGATTGATACTCAGTTGCCAGAGAGAATCAAAGGAAAGTGGAGCGAATTCGGAAGCCGCCATCTTTAGTGCATCGTTAAAATGAATAGGAGATATTGGCTCCTGCACACAAAACGTGACAACGCGGTGAAAGTTGGCGCGATAGCCAATCAACGTCTCACTTGCTCGGAAGTAAAGCCAGCGGCACAAGATGCTTATTTTCCTGCTGGATTGCTAGCTGGATTAGAATCTTGCCATATTGGTTGCAATGCTGTCAGTACCAGTATGGCAGTCAATATGGTAGCAAGATTTTAATCGGCTAGCAATCCAGCAGAAAAAGCATCGTGTGCCGCAAGTTTAATAGATATATAATTTCCACCGCGCGACAAAAGTTGAATTTAATTCAACATTTGCCGCGCGGTGAAAGTAATATTACATCATTTCTAGAAGTTTTGCATGGTGAAATTAACTTAGTGAGCTATATCTCCTTATTCTTATTTAACATTGGATGAACAACAAGGATAAAACGGTACACAGAAGCATTCGATGTTTGTGAATGCAGCCCTAGTATTGTGTGTACAGTCACAGAAAGACTGCAATACTTTTTTTTTCGATGTGTTTTGGAATGCAATTTGCTTACCAAGCAATTTGTTCTAATTCGTGGACCCACAAATAAGAATACTCACCAATCGCTTGGTGAGTAGATATAAATGGCGGAACCAATTATAGAAAAGAATCACTATCCGTTCCATTCTTTCTTGATTTTCACTGAATTTAGCCCAACAACATATATACATACCTAGACCAAGCATTCTGTTCATATCCGGCTTGAAACTGGAAATTGAGTTTAGGTAGACCCATATTATTTCATTTTATTTTGCAGTGTATTATTTTCAATTAACCTTTTTGCACCGTTTATTTACACTTTCTGCGACTAATGCTGCCAAGAACACATAATCTTTCTCATATATGTTATTGATTCCGTTGATTCAAAGTACAATACGAAAAGAGAAACACAAAAATGATGAAAATGTGTATTTGTGAATAATATATGAGTACATTTTTATTAAGATTCGAAATGATAGGAATATTCTAAATTCTAAGTAATTATCTGAAATGGTTGTCCAAATTGTAACTGCACTAACAGTTGCCATATAATCACAAATTTCTATCGTTTTAAGTTTTCCATATTAATTTTCGAGCTGAGCAAATAAAAGACACTAGACCATTTTGTGTAAAATATAGGCTGTATTCCACTTAACGCTCGCAACTCTCGCGAGTATCATTTGTTCTTGGTTAACATTTGATAACGACAAGGATGAAATGATTTCACGAGCATTAAATGGAAGCACAGTGTTAAGCTAGTCACGCACATTTTCCATAACAGTAACCATAAACGTAACATAACGTTGCTCGATTCAGTCGTCCGTAACCGTAACTATAACAATCAAGCAACGCGATTGGTCGAAAACCTTAAGCTCATGGCACATACAAAAACGAAAGGCCGTAAGACGTAAAGTAAGGAAATCGTAAGATTGGATTTGCTACTGGCCTTATGGTCTCTACCGTGATTAGGCAATTCCCTTACTGTTTACATCTTATGGCCTTACGTTTTTGTATATGCCATAGGCTTTACTGTTATTATTATGGAAAATGTGTGATTAAGCTACTGTGTAGCTTTACTCTGGCCTAATTTCCACCGAAGGTTTAATCCGGATCAGAATGTAAAAAACCAACCAATTACAGTCGAGCATTCTCCTGTCATTCGATTGTAACAGGGGAATATTCGATTATACTTGGTTGCTTCTTATATTTTGATTTGAATTATGCTCTTGAAACTAGGCCACAGTGTCACCGTTATTGGGGGGGGGAGGAGGAATATCCATTGGATGCTTTTTTTCGTCAATTTGATAGCCGCTACGCATCGGATCTGCTGGTTGCGCAGTTAATTTAAGAACACGAAGTTCTGCTCGTATATTCTCAAAACGTGCAAGATTTAAAATTAAAGAAAAATCGTATAAATGATCAAATAGATACTATAATTGATGTGCTTATAATTTAATGTTTTATCGATTGTAATTGAGAATTTAGTCAACAAATATATAAATCTTACAATCACGCAGATCCAAAACGGCTGCGCAGCTAATTTCAATCATCTGCATATCCACTGTCTATCTATTACCAAAAGACCGAAAATCTGCATTGTAATTGACTGCGCAGTCGTGTTAAAAGAATGAATTATTGCAGGAACTGCATCCGATACCTAAGAGGCTCTGTACAATAAAAGGAACTGGGAATAGACAATAGAGAATAAGAATTTCAACTTATCAAAAATCATGTATTGTGGAATACATTTCTGATAAGTTGAAATTCTTATTCTCTGTTCTCTATTTCCTGTTCCTTTTATCCCTAAAAGAAGAACGCATTCGCTGTATCTTCGACATATCATCCTTGTTTAACGTTCCGTAAAAATACATTCACACAAGTAGCCGCATAAACATATGCATAAAGAAAATTATCCAATCACATTTTACGTCTTTATAATACGATTGAATAACTTTCTTTATACATACGTTTATGCGACTATTGCTGGATTCATACTGGATCCGATGTATCGATGATACGAAGCAAAATCCTGTTTTCTGATTGGTTGCAGAGAACATCGTACGATGTTTCAGATCACACATGTCGGATCCAGTGTGAATCGGATCCAGCATATGCAAGTTTTTGTGGATATACTCTAAATAGCAAGAATGACATCCATGGGGAGTACCCACGGGGAGGTAGGAAGCAGTCCAGGAAGTCGATTGTGTATCTTGAAGTGAGATGAGAATGTCAAACGTGAGCAAATTCAAATTAGTTATTAATCAATTGAATTATGAATGTTCTAGTGAATTTGCTCACTTATAATTTTCACTTCATTTCGAGATACACAATTGACCCCCTGAATGGATACTTTTCAAAAATAGAGGACTCTTCTTTGAGGATCTCTAGACTTATTGATGAAGCTAAAGAATTTTAAAATAAGCAATTTCACTTGGATGGCGCTTTCTCGTAAGATAGCTTATAGCGTTTTCCACTGGGACACTGTTACGCACGAAGTACAATTGTGTTGTTCCACTGTGAAAACTAGAGCCTTATAGCATTTTTCTCTTGAGATACACTGGATGTTTGTTCACGTCGTATGCTCTAACATGCTCTAAAATGCTCCTACCATTTACTCTCTAACGCGCTCGTTGAAGCGAGTAGGAGCTATAGCAGGAGCACATTGGAACAAATCTCTTGAGTATAACCTCGCACTATTGCGTATCAGTGCTGCACTACACAAATATACATACACCATGGTGTACACTATTTCATGCTATCGTGTTAATTTTGCTGCCGATTGACTTCCATTTTCAAATTTTTAATGTCACTGGCTCTACACCGTCTCTTTAAGATCGTATAAGAAAACCCCATTTGTGTATAAAATTTGCACTACTGTAGCTACTATAGCCACATTACACTGAATGAGTTTGCCTATTATCAGACAAGGATACATGCTACACTGTCTGAGTGTTGACTGGTAGACGATAGTGCAGCTAAGAGAAAAGTTATTATAGCGTTTTCTCTTGGGATATATTGGGTGCAGCCTCATACCGCACTAGAGCACTAAAAACGTAGGTATTCACGTTGACCATTTTTATTCTTTTTCTCACTCCTTGCTCTGCCAGCATTCATCACTGAGCTATAACGGGTTATGGTCATTATAAGTTATGATTTGTATTTGCTGCTTGAAATTTTGCTCCTTTCGTTCTTTTTTCTCTCAAAATCAGTTAAATATCGTAATATTAGTGCAGGATCTGAAGAGTGTCTGACGGTTCTTCAGGTTATTTCTAGATAAGGTGCCAAATATGTATGACAATTTGAAGAAAAGAATTAAAATTTCTCATCTGCAAAGAAATGTAGTGAGTTTATTCAACAAGTCATGTATTTATTTTATAACAATACAGCAAGTTGTTGGCGAATATTATCCGCAGGAAATTTAAATAATCGAATACTTTTTTCTGATCTATTGATACAGTTTACCGCAATGCAATAAGGCATTTTATAAATTTTTTTGCCTTCGTTAATATATAATATTTCAGTTTTTTTATCTTTCTTTTCATCTCTTAGTTTTATGGTAAAATTTCGAAGTGCGGAAATATATAAATATTATAGGATTTCCAACAGCTTAGAAATTATAATCTATAACAACCATAACCTATAATCTTCTCATCTCAGCGGCAGAGTGGGAACAGAGCAAAGAGTGGAAAAAGGAGTAAAAATGCGGATATGCGAATATATAATACTCATGTTTATAGTGCCTTAATCACACCAGATGCGTGTAAACGTTATACTCAGCTATACTACATTAGAGTGGTGTACACTACATTATTATTGCGCTAATACTGTTCTCACTTGATTTTCAATTTCAAATTTTAAATGTCACTGACTCTATACCATCTGTTTGAGACAGTGTAGCAAAATCCCACTTTATGCATGAAATTTGCACCGTAACAACGATAACATCAGTTATGGAAACACTCTACACTGCCTGAGTGGGCGATAGTGCAGCCAATAGAAAACGCTATAAGACTTAGTAGTTCAGTATTTAATGTTCCATTGATAAAACTGGTGCAATAAACTTGCACTGAGTTCAACTTTTGCTCCACTGCCTTTGAAGTCAGTGGAGACTAGTGCAACTTGAAATTGAGAGTTGTGTTCATGCTAAGATGATATGTTATAATATGTTATTACATTATTGTAATCAATGTTATAACAATGACATTGTTTAGTTTCAATGTTTCTAATAATTGCTACGCAATGACATTTTGACGTTTAAGAGTACAGTCAACGCGATACTACAAAAGCTTTACAACAATTTTTTATTGGTCACTTTGTAAAATTTTTTTTTCTAATTGGTCAACCAAGCTTTAAAGCATTTGTAGTGAGACTTTGACCGCAGCCTAAAACTCTTGAAATGTAAAAATTTAATTTTAAAAAATGTTTTAAATAAATTAATAAATCAGAATATTATAAAATAAGTAATTTAAGTTTGAACATAGTTATATATATATTTTTTTAGGGATATTATAAAATAAGTAATAAGAATATTATAAAATAAGTAATTTAAGTTTGAACATAGTTATATATATATTTTTTTAGGAATGTTATAAAATGTTATAAAATGTGTGTAGGAATGTCAATAAAATAGATGTCTAATGATATGTTTCATTGAACCGCACTAAACCTGCACTGTTCCTGCACTATTCCTGCACTAGTGCAGTTTTTATCTAAATCTAACACGGCGCTAGTGCTGCACCAGTTTTCTCAGTGGAGAACGCTATTAGTTCAAATTATTTAAATGCTAAACATGGCTTCCAGAACGCAAACATGACTTGTTGAAAATGAATAAGAATAAGCAAGTTGTCATTGATTTAACTGCGTGCAAGTTATTATTACGCATTATTCTTCATCGAACGTGGCTTTAGTTAATCAGTTCTAGCTATTGACTGTTAAATACGTGACGAGATTATGATGAACGAGTGCGATCGTGATGCGGAGAACGATTCAACGATGCTGTCTTTGTCATTCAAGACGGATTTTGCGGAATTTCGTCCGCAAAAGGAGCTAGTGTACAATAAATTGTTGCCCTATGCGAATGAGCTTGATGTAGAGTCACGTATATGGCTCGCTGAGATCAAAGGAAATTTGGGACGCGCGGTCATGTTACGTGAGCTAACACCAGGATGCGTTTTTTGGTCGAACAGATTGAATTTGTAAGCCATGAGATTTTGCTTTTAAAGCATAGAAATACTTTGTACAGTGTACGAATGCCGTTTTCCTTTTAAAAGACGCAATCGTTCTATCCTTAGTATCCAATAATAACAAAGTTTGAATGACATTTATATCAATTGTGTTTTCTAATAGAAAAGCAGCTCAAGTATTAAGCCTAATCTATAATGTGCTCTTCGTTTCCTGTTTCTTGTCTTTTATTACTTTTTACTACTTTTCATTTACTTTTCACTCTACTTTTTTTCCTCTTATCCAGTTTTTCGTTTTCTATTGTCTGAGATAAAAGTTGACAAACTTTGGAATAGACAAGAAACATGCAAAGAGGAACGCGATTGTTGGTAACATGATCGCAAAGAAGAAAGAAAGCATAAAATAAAAAGCAAGTAACAGGAAACAAAGAACTCATTGTAAGTTAGGCTGTAGCAGCTGTGCACAGTCAAAGGAATAGAGAATGAGGATTTATGTCCGTATTCATAGTCACCTTGTACTTAAGACTTCCTTAAATTTATCTTTAGATACTCAGCAGCTAATGAAATAATTCGTAGAATATCTAAAGATAAATTTAAGGAAGCCTTAAATATAAGGCCTGATTATGAATACAAATATTAAACTCTATCTTGTCTTAAATGTGTTGTACATTACATTATATCTAATAAATTGAAATTCTTATTTTCTGTGTACAGCCCTTCAAAAAAAGAAAAAATTCCAAATTTTTAGTGGGAATTCATTTCAATGAGTAGATAGTCAGTAATCGGAAGTCTTAACTAGTCCCTTAGGTCCGATTTTATAATATACCTACCTATTACCTAAAAATTAAAGATAACCAAGAAATTCACAAATGAATTTCATTAATGAATCTGTAACCTTTAATCTTATTAATCATATATTGTGAAAATGGGCCTAGTCATATAAGATTTGGCTATTGATCAACTACATTGATTAAGACTTAGAACCACTTAGGACTCTTGATTATCAATTCATTGTAGAAGAACCCTGATAGGACTTAAGGCAGATAATACTCGTAGATTGACCCATGAAGTTCTAAGTGATCCCTATACTTTTGTTTTTATATCCTTATAACATTGGATCTTAATCAAAATTTTTTAATTACAATTGATATTCAGGATTTGAAAGAGTCAGTTAAAAAAATTTGACTGGAATGACAAAAACTTTACAAATATATATATATA